CCCCAAAACCCCAAAACCCCAAAACCCCAAAACCCCAAAACCCCAAAACCCCAAAATATAATGCTTTTATTGGCTAATTATTAAATATGTCATTCAGTCATAAAGAGAATACTCTGTATATTAATGGACAAGTATTGAAAGAGACCTTCAGTACTCAACTTAAGAAATTTAACAATATCATAAACTCTAAAGAAGAATCAATAGTTACAGGAATCAAAGCTGAGAAGTTAGAAGCGCTTACAAATCTTAGCGACATTTATGTTCCTTCTACAGAAGAGCAAATTGAAATGTATTGAGGTAAATCGAATTAGTTAATACTTTTTAGACGATGCCTTTGATGCTTTAAAACAGCACCAAGTTCAAGGTAGGATTTTTCAGATAACTCGAATAGGATCATCTGGAGGGAAGTCTACTCTCAGGCCTGAAGCTCAACTGATCGAAAATATAATGGGTAAGATGAAATCTAGAATACTTAATCAAGAAGAGCTATCAAAACTTGCATCCTATAATTCATTCAAACTCCTTGCTGAGTTGGAAGATAAAAGGTTGAAGTTTGACAAAAATTACATCTACAATAAATTTGATGATCCTAATCCTGATTATGGAAGCTTCTCAAAGTGGAGATCTCTATTGCACATTTCTAAAAAGAGTGCTATTGAAGACGAGATAATTTACAAAATAGTTATTTACCATCCAACCAAGCATACAAGAATGATGGCTTTTAATATGGTAGGAACTCAAACACTGCAAGATATCCAATCAAAAATATATTGTCCCTGAGACTATGTTTTTGATGGGAAGCAAAGCTATGATCCTATTCAGTCTTTCTTCTTCATTGAAGGATGATTCCACTATAACTATAAGCCAACAATGTCTCATATGGAAAGTGTTCTTCAAACAGAGATTGATCTTTTGATTGCAACTCATAATGATTTACTAAGTAAGCTCAAAGTATCAAGTATAGGCAAATAATTTGATCCACACAAATTCCTTAATTCTCCCAGATTCTTCCTTAAGTCATCAGATCTTAATGCAGAATAAAGAAGGAGATGAATCTGATGGGATAAGTTTGGATAGTGATGATCTTGAACCAAGAACAGGTACTTATTCTTTTTAGCATTTTTGAGATACTTCAAAATAATTTTCCATTATGGTTAAATTGATCCACTTATTTAAATTTTGGCATCATTCCTCATTTTTACTGTAACTTAAAATATTGGTAAGTTTGAAAAATACTGATAAAATTAAAATAGAATCAAAATCACTCAATCAAAATAAGAATAGCCAAAGAAGCCGGTAAGTTTATAATTTTAAATTGACTAAGTTAATTAGGAAAGAAGAGAATAAAGTCCATTTTCAAGAGGAGGAAAAAGAACCTACAAAGAAGGAAGAGAAGGAGAAAATTCTTGAAGTAAAGCAGTTAGATTTTACTCAAAAGAATCCTAAGCATTATTCAACTCGCAAGCCTTCACAAAATGAGAATGTATTTCATAGCTTTATATCATTTAGATGCTTTCATCTTTTCCTAATTGCCCTCATCGATACAGCAAGAAAGATATGAGTGCTACAAAATTAGATGATTTAGAAATTAAAATAGGGATCCCCTACATTTATAAGCACAACGATCACTGAAGTCACTACATCTCATTCACAGAAATCCGGAAATATGAAAAATTGTAAATACTTTCCTTTATAATTTTAGGTTCGATGATCCAGACATCAACAATTACCCATTGCTAGTTTTCCAAGAATCTATAAAAAGAAAGATTTGTGAAATATGAGAAGACATCCGAGCAAAGTTGATTGTGTGAGTACATGAGATCGAAAACTTCAATCCCCCTCTATTTTCAACCGAACAAAAGGCTGATAAGCCTATTTTCATCTGAGAAAACTGTTACCAAGATGTATTCCTTGATCAGGAGGGAAATAGGATCTACTCGAATATGACTGTAGCCCAATATTTTCATGAATAAAATTAATATCAACTAAATCTTCAGAGGCTGGGGTTTTGGGGTTTTGGGGTTTTGGGGTTTTGGGG